AAATACAGAGTGCATGTTGCATTACTTGTGACACATTTTATCAATGATTCTTCAGATATAATGATTAGAAATCATTTTATTTATTGTTAACTCAGTGACCCCAGATAATTGATTTCGAATCTGTAGAATTATTTGAAATCAGTTTCAGTCACGAAGTCTCATTAAAAATCACTCGCAGCCATTGACGTCATTTTATCCAAAGTCAATGGAAGGGGAGGTCATGTGAAGTCGAATTTTTTTCGACGTCATAATGTTAATCAATCAGGGAACAAATAGCCCCTCGGCTACAAGAAGGAGTAAAGAGAAATAAAGAAATTTTAAGATGAGCCGGTCTCCTCCTGTTTTCTTCCACCGAAATTCCTGTCTCCGTCTTATCTAACAAATTACCATGAGTTCGCAGGACATTTAGCGGACAGTAGGTAGCCATGGGACTTGGCCCCATGGAAACACGTCACACTGAGCATTATGACCCCCCTCCCCCCCTCAAAAATACAGAATGTGTAGTCAAGAGCAGAGGAAGGATAATGGGATTATCGGATGATCCGGTAAGCTGTTTGGATGCCCTGTCTGCTAGAATATTTCTGGCTGGGATGGGCCATAGGGACTGGAAGAGAAAAAAAAAATCTAGTGTCTGCATGGACTCCTGGATAAACGGCCGCTCCACTCGTGGATCATGGACAGCCCTGGAAAAGCTCTACTTTGCTATCCTCTTAAAGAAAACATCTTCCTGCCAGAGGCCAAGGAGCTCTAATAAATATTTTAACACCTCTCGTAATTACTGTAATTTCACTCGCACTGCAAGAACGACTGCGAAGCAAAAAAGAACAATAACTTTAGTGAGAAGAATTATTGTAAATGACTGAAATTTACGTCTTTATTCTTCGTTGCAATTGGTATATAAAGCTGTGAGCGGTAAATCTTTTAGTAAATAAATTTGTCTGTAAGAGTAGGAATTTCATTTAAATCATGTGTCTGAGTAAAATCACAGATTCATCGAGTTCCTGAATAACAAAGAAGATATCGAATTGGAAACAACAAGTCATATAATCGAAATCAATCACATGAATAAATCTGATAATTTGTTGTTACCCTCGCTGTATTATTTTATTTATTATCAAATAATTAAAACCCATGAAAACCCATTAAAACCCATTAGTTTCCGTTTATGTTGTTTCGACAATGTAATACTTACAATTTAATATTGTAACATAATATCTTGATAATACGATGTAATATTTTTTTATTGCAATATTTAGAGTGGCTACCCTTTCAGCATAAGGGTTGATAAACCCCAGCCACGTCCGCTATTAATTCCTTCATATTTTCTTCTCTTCCTCATCGACTATTAATATTTTTACCAATTGCAAATTATTTATTCACCCTCAAAGGAATTCAATCCCAAAGATGACACGAATCTTCATGCGATACATCCGGATCTCGTGCCAATACTCTTCAATGCTGTATGAAATATGCTGTATCGGAAAGGCGTGATTTGATGCACAGAAAAATTCGAATATCACGTATCTTGTTATTTCCTGTGACCTCTTCCCCTCGTCTGCATCAGGATAAATCCCAAGTTCCCAGTGAAGGGGATGAGGGGTGGGAAATATTGTGTGGGGCTGTGATAGTATATAAAAGGACCTTTTTCACTCATCGTACCCATACGGTTTCGATAACAAATACCAGTCCTCTTCCATTCACCCTTCAGGTCCAGTTGTATATGTATTTACAAGCTGCATAAATAAATGGAAATTGCTAACTGGTGTAACGCCCGACTGCTCCCTTCTCCACTCTCTCGTCCACTCTGAAATTATACCTCAATGCCATCTACGTATGTATCCAATTGTGATGGGTTGAAAATGGAGGATGAGGGACAGTGGATCGGATACAAACAATCGGTGAAATCGCTTTTCCATTCCCATAGACGATTTTAACGGATTTACTTGAATTCCAATCGATTAATGTCCTTCCCCTCTCGCCCTCACCCCCCCATCGCCATTTCGAATCTCAAATATTTGCCCCGTGGAATAGCTCTGACGTATGAAATTTGATTAATTGTAATTGCCATGATGGATTAAACAATTTCATAAATCTTTCGTGGTTTTGAAATGGTGGGCTTTGGTGGATTTTTTTTTAACTCCATACGCACTTCATTCTCACTCCTTGTCTTCTCACACTCCATAGAGTGTCTTATCAACTCGGGTACATGCATACCAACCCTCCACTTGTTCCAGACTGGCCATTTGTTATGGTTAAGACTCGACTGGTGTACCGAGACAACGAACTTTCCTCAACAATCGAGGGTACGATAAATAGCAATGAGACATGGCTTTAAATTTTTTGATTTTTCGGTAAAAATTGCATTGAGATCAATAATTACTCGGAGAAGAATTGATAATTGAACCAATATATTTATAATTGTTATTAGAATCGCGGAAAAATCAAATCGCCACGTAATTTTAAGTCACTGATATAATATTCCCTCAATTTCAAATCTTTCATGAAATTTTTCAATCTTGAAAATTTAACATGGAATAATAATTACAGTTATAATACAAATAAATAAAAAACACTTGTGTCGATAGTCTCGTGATAGATTATTAAAATTAAATTATCATTATTATTGTAATTATAATAATATATCATCATTATTGCTAAATCCAGCGATAATGGACGATTAAATGTAAAAACTGTGAAAAACTTAAAAATTAATTGTTTGCAAGCTAAATAATTATTAAATAATTATTAAATAATTAATAACAATTATTAATAAGTAAATTTTAA